TGAGACGATAATGTTTTCACGTCAACTGCGTTTTCTTTTCTGCCTAAAATTTAATCTACGAAAAACAGCTTGAAGTATGTCAGTAAAAAGTCACCCGTCACTTTGTATATATTTTCAAGTTAACCGTTAGTTTTCTTATGTAATTTCTAGTTTGGGCGTATCTCAAAAACTTCATAGTTACCTTCGAATTGAATAGCATCCAAAATGTAAGCTAAAAAGGTGAAAATTGCATTTTTGAACATGCAATCTAGGCTTGTCCACTCTCCTTTCTTAAAATTATTTTAATTAATCACGAACACCTATTGATTAGGTATTACATTTATGCCGCCTTATTTAAGCGAATTTATGTATCGAATTAAAAGCCTTTTAGTGATGTAAAGAAATTAAATTTGTATTTAGATGGAATTTTTTATTTTAGCAAGTCGCAAAGCTATTCACCTTAATAAATAAAATATTAAGTTTGTGTTCCTTTATATTTTTAATTAAGTTATGATGAACATTTACATTCTACAAATTAATTGATTTATTCTAAGAATATGATATTATACGCAGATTATTACGTGCAGTTTAGTAAAGTTGATATTTGTTAAAATTAATTGATTCTAAAGTTAATAGCAGATGTGTGCAATATGCTGACTTTACATTTCCAAATATGTTATTTCATGTGTACTAATATATATTTTATATTTATGCGTTATATTAAATATATATTTTATATTACACATGAAAATAAAAAAAATCATTATGTTATTCATAACAAATATATGGAAATATGATTATGTATGAAACCTTGCATTATGTATGTAAATCTCAGTAATTTATTGATATGTTTCTTTGAAACTATTTGTCATTTAACGTTAAATATTATGTTGGACAAGAGAAGATGATCAATTTAAGAGTTTAAATTACTGAAAAAATAATGTTAAGAAATATAAATGCTTAAAAAGTCATGTTTAAGATAATTATGTCTTTTGAATATGCTTATTTTTATGTAATATTTCGAGAAAAGGATACGAAGAACAGAGAATAGGGTGTTAGCCTTTATTGAAATTAACCAAGTGTAAGCTTAGCTCCTACGTAGATCACAAAATAATTAAATAAACAAAAATGTCAATTTCTAGCAATTTCACACTTTGAATTTTAAAATCAATAACATTAATGAAAACATCTGTAGTGGCGATGCATGCCTCTATGCATCCATGTAAGGGATAAAAAATAATTCCTAACCCCTTTTTGAGAGGTTGTTTTCCAGAAATATATCAATTACTGTTCTAGATGCATGGCATTTAGTGAAGTTCTAACTGACAGCATACAATGTCTGCTGTTCGATTGGTAAAATGTCAGATGAACTGACTTGTCCAAGCAGAGATCAACACCACGTAACCCAAACTGGTATTACTAAAACATTTATTTAAAACAATTCAGATGCTTTGAAGTTAAATCTTTTCTAGAAAGGTTTGAAAAACAATGAAAAAGTGAAAAAGATAGTTAAAAGATGTCGGTTACAGCTGTTTCTATAACTTGCTGTGAAATCCTATTTGTGACTTCAATAAGATATATTTAGTCTAAGTTTGTTAGATATTTGCTTGATAAGATGCACAGAAAAAATCTTTATGTCCCAATTAAGAATTTCTCGAAGCAAAGTACGATTAAATATTAATATCATTAATTTGTTTGATTTTTGCTTTACATTGTCTATACATTAATTCTTTCTTCAAAATATTTAAGTTCTAAAGATATATTTTATATTTTTCTTGTGAAATTGATATTTGTTCAGTTTTGAGATGAATTAGAAATGCATATCCTTAAAATTTAATACTTAAAAAAAGTTTTCGTAAATATGATTTAATGTATTTTTTTTATACAATTTCACAAAATAATCTTATATTTTTTCGAGAGACAATAATTTGATGGCTTTAAGCGAGTCACCTCATAGAATAAAAAACTTTTTTATTTGAGAAAGTAAACTTAAGATTGTTTCTGGGAAGACAGTCATCTCTCTCCGTACCCATTTCCTGAAATTTTTTCCCATAAAATAAAAACTGTATTTTAATAAAAAAGAAACAAAAATCGGGAGATTTTATGAAATAAAATATACAACATACTGACGCTTTAATATTCTTCCTAAATGTATGTCATTCTTTTCTTACATACACACACTGGGTAATGAATTAGAAACCTTTGAGATTTGCATTTGAATGCGTTCTAGGGGTGAAATAAGTAAATGTTTTATAATGAAGAGGGTTACACGTAGCTAGAATGCAAGTATAAGTAATGTGTAAGAATGTTTTACACGATGAATGAAATAAAATGGGGGAAAATATAGTCCTTTGTCCCTTTGAAAAAGGGCTTATTATTGATGCATGTTTAGCAGGGGCGCCAATTTCGAAGTCATCAAATCTCACTGGGTTCTCAAAAGCAACCATATGGAATGTTTCGAAAGTTGGAATCATGATCAGCAGTTATTCTCCAGAAGACATAATTTCAGTTCGAGCATAGTTTTCCAAGAGAGTAATCGACACAACAGGATCTGTACTGTGTTTCAACTAACACAAATCATCAACCAAGATTCTTCCTACCGTAAATTCAACTCGAACCATGTGTAGAGAACTGTAGAGGATAAGTATGGATAGCAGGATGACTGAGAGAAAATCACTCATTTCTGCCCGAAAAGCAAAATTTCGTTTGCAGTGGTGTCGGAAAAAAGGACACTGAGCACCCGAGGATTGGAAACGGATAATGTGGTCGACAGAATCACGCTTCACCTCACTTTGCCCTGATGGAAGACGTTGAGTTTGTCGATAACCCCACGAAATAAAGTATCCATCTTGCCTCACTCACCCTGTGCAAGGGTCTGGTGAAAGTATCATGATGTGGGGTCCATTCTGCTGACATGGAAGGGGTGCCCTTGTATTCTTCGAAGATAAACAAACAGCAAGAAGATACCTAGATATAATGACAGATCAAATGCATCAGGAATGTTACATTTTTACCTTGCCGGTGACGGATACTTCATGGATAATAATACAACTATGCATTATTTCAGATGTGTTCAAAATTGTTTCGCTGAACATCAATTCGACTACTAACATCTTTCCTGGCCGCCACTTTGCCTGTATCTCAGCCCTGTAGAGAATGTGTGGGATGTAGTGGAATTACACATCCAACAACACTCTTACCTTCCATCTAATTTACAAGATCTGAAAAACTACGTAGGCAATGCATATTATTCTCTGGACGTAAATGCACTCCCTGAAGCATAAAGATTTGATGGCCAAATGATTCAGAGCATTTATCCATGTTTAAAGTGGTTCAATTAAATATTGATCTAGGTTTTCTAATTCATTCACCACGCAGTGTAATAAATGTAATTTTTTCCGAAAATTTGAATATTTTTTTAACGATTGTATTACAAATTACAGGAAAATGTGCTGAGACAAAAATGGTCTCGATTCAAGTTTACCTAATGCAATATTAGAATGAGAGATAGAGTTTCGTTAGTATTAAAATGATTCAAACAAAATAAGAACTTCATTAGTTATATGAATTTCCGAATACCATTACTTAATAACCCCCTTAAGCAAACTAATGAGGAAAGGTTAAAAGCTTTCAGAATTGTAAAGAAAGTACACAGTTATTTACAGATGCGGCAAACGTTATTCAAAGAGCAATGAATTTTTTTTATGTTTCCCAAATGGATTCAAAGTGACATTTAAATTACTTTGATGTTAGTGCTTTTATGTGAATAATTTGTTAGCACTTTAATTAGTCAAAAGATTTTCAATTTACTGGTTCTAAATTAAAATATCTAGATTTATAATTTTATGATATATTTGGGTACCGTTTTTTTTTACCTTAATGTTATATTATATATATATATATATATATATATATATATATATATAGAGAGAGAGAGAGAGAGAGAGAGAGAGATGTTGAATTCATGCAGAACAAATTAAATTAGTGCTTTTTTATTTTACTTAAGTTCCAAGCTTAATGTTTTATATTACATTTTTTCTTATTATTTTAGATGTTTTTTAATGCTACGTTTTTCTATTTAATCATATAAATTTATATGAATAATATTTCTTCAGACATTTATTTAATCATAATATTTATTCTTATAACTAATAGAATCATACAGCTGATGTATCTTTACAAGTACACAACATATATTCAAATGCCAGATTATTTGAAGGATCCAGTTATTTATAGAGCTCCAAAGAAATTAGGAAGAGTAAATTCTGTTGCTATCAGTCTTAATCATAATTTTTAATATTTTATATCATAAAAATTGAAAACGTTATACAACAAAAATGTCTTAACTAATGACAGCTGTAATTATCATAACTTAATTAATTTTAACATTATGCTAAGGCAAATGTTCCATATTTGAATAATTTGAAGGCGTTGGAATTTTATTTATTTCTGGAAATATATTCAAAAAAATAATGCATTCAGTTATATTTTTTATGCGAAAAGTATTTTTGTGAATAACATATTATTTAAATCCCCCATTTATTCAGACATTACCTTAAAAAATTTATTTCATACGGTTATCTGAATTATTTGTTTAAATTGGAGTACATATTTTCTTGGAGCACACGGCAACTTATATACACTTATGAATATAATATACAAACGAAAAATATATATTTTTATATACTTGCGTACATACATTACCTTCTGCAGAATATCATACTGCTCGTAGAAATTCTGGACGTAAATTAGGAGTTTTATTCAATACCTGCTATTCGTTCACTCTCTTCCTGTATATATATATATATATAGGTATATATGTATCTTGGGAAAATTTTAAATCTTATAAATAAAATAATTTCTATTCATCCATTCAAATTCAAATACATTTTTTTAAACTTGATGTTAATACAGTTTTTTTTTCATATAATAATTGATTAATTAAAATAAAAAAATGAATAAATAGTAACAAACAAAAATAATAGTCCAACAGCATATATAGAAAGAAAATCATTCGTTGTGTCCTTGTGGTGCAATGGAAAGCATATTGGACCTCTAATCCAAAGGACGTGGCGTCGAATCCTACCTGGGATGTCCTCATTTCTCAGAATGTGTTTTCTTTTTTACTATACTATTTTATTAGAATAATTAAATTCAATTAGTAAATAAATAGTAACAAACAAAAACAATCCAACAACATACATAGAAAAGAAAATGAAAAATTGCAAGGAAAATTGTTTTCTATGTTGTCACTTAATAGAGTGATTCTGTCATGTGTATGAACATATTTATATTAAGTGTAGTTATTTATTAAAAAGTAGCTAAAATAATGTTTTTCTTTGTACCTGAGCAGGAATTAACTTAAAAAATGTTTTTATATTGCTTGTTTTATTTTATTTTTTGCAAAATATTTTATTAGTATATGTATGATTTAAGAGAGTTATTAGCGATGGCTATTTAATCTGACTTTTAATTATTATTTAATATCTATGGTAATTCGCATGAATTTCAAATTCTTTGTAGTGATTCTTTCTCTTAAATTATAAGAATCGTAAATAAGAGAATACATTTGATAGAAAAGAAATAATGTGCACAGTTGGACACGGTACTTGTATATAAAACACGGTTTTAAATTACGTGGCACAAAACTTGTATTTGATATGGTTTTGATATCGGATTCAATAAGGTTTCAATACAACACGATTTTAAAAAAAATATATATATCATTTTCGTTCAGTAAGGGAAACTTCCTAACTTTATTGCTACAGAAAATTATTTAAACTTAATCAATCATTAAAATTTAATTAATCTGCAAGATGAAATAGCTTTAGCTAAGAAACTATATTTGTTGTTGTTGTTGCTGAAAAAGATATTTCAGTAGTACGTATAGCGGAAAATTTAAATGAGAATTGCGAAGTTCCTTAACACCTTATAGGGAAAATCTGAAATAATTTCAAGATCGAAACAGACAGGTACTTGTAACAGCGTCATCTATATTTTGTAATGATGGATAAATAACTAGAAAAAAGGAGTTGGGAAAGAGAGGGGAAAAAAGTAGATTACATGTAATTCCTGATGAAATTGACGATAAAAAAATAATTTATGAACCTAATAAGCCGTTTTTTTATTTTATAATTATAATTATTTTTGAGAATATATTTTTGTTGTATTTTTAATTTATGTATTTCATATTTTGGTTTTTGTTTAAAAACTTAGAGAGTTCACTTACTTTTTTTATGTGTGTATTTTATTGGAATGAAATTTCAGCTATCATAAAAGTTTACATCTTGATACTTGATTTCAAAATAACACAGTACACATTTCCTTGATTTATATTACTTCAAAAGTTTCGTATAACATGGTTTCAATACAATGTATTACATATTGCCCTGTGTACATACATAATTATACTAAGATGGGCACTATAGTCTTCTGTCCTCATGGACTGTTGCGCCACTGAGTTTGCACACATTATCAATTTATTAAATAAATTAATTAATAATTAAAATAAACAAATAAGTACTAAGTTCCGTATAATACAGCTTCTAAATAGCAGGGTACGAATTAACCCTTTGCTATGAGTGCCCCAAATATTATTTATTTTTTTTATTTTATTGCAAGTACATTGTAAAATACCTTTTCTCGACTTGATTTACGACCATCCACACCTACATTCATAAAATGCAAACAATTAAAATAGTAAATAAAAGAAGATAAGTTTATGATTAAACACAAAAAGTTCCCAAAAGCTTCATTTAAGGTGTACAGCACAGATTTTTGCCATTATGAACAATAACTTTATGTTAAGATTTTGTTTATATCTTTTATGCATTTTTTATTGCTTGTTTTAATGGAAAATAGTTTAAAAAATATAAATAAGAATTTCGGCCATAACAAATACCAGGCTGTCAGTTAAAATGAAACTCAATTGCAAAGAAGGGCATTATTCTAAGCTTAAAATCTTTCCAAACTTTTCACTTGTCCTTATTTTTATAAAATATTCCCTTAACATAACTGTTATCTATTAAATAAACCATTTAAGAGATGATCTAAACTAAATAATTTTACACCTCCGTAAACCATGATCGATTGGTATGCTTTAGGGAAATAACAGTTCAGCGTAATCTTTACCCCCTGGCAATAATATTAAATTGTGTTTAATGGAACACAAACCCAGTACCATGAATCAAGTAATGCAAATGAATTCATAAACCACAGCAGCTTTAGAAATAGATTTCAATTTCATTTCATTAGAGCTGAAAATGAAATTGTTAATCTGTAGATCAAATTTCCGTTTCATTTTGAATGTACTTTCTATAATTTTTTACGTTTCAAGTGTCCATAATTTGTCAGTATTTTTTTGTATGATATATTATTTCTTAAGGCTTAGTGATTTTTCATTATGTTATAACATTATATAATTATTTTCTGCTTTATGTGCATTTGATGTGCTTTGATTTTTTTCATTTACACTTTTATTTTCAGTGCAGTTTCCTCAATGATTTTCCACTGTTAAAATTTTGTTTAAATACGTTCTATTACCTTTTTATGAATATTAAGTTCGTCGCAAAACCATTAAGTGAAGAGAGTAGGTATTTTCTAATTCAAAACTTGCATTTTCTTTTGCGTACAAGGTGTAACACTTTTTTAATGTGGCTGCGGATTGATGTTTTACAATTCCATACCCTAGTACCTTCTACGGGAGCAGGTATCTCTTTGAAGTGCGGCACCATATAGAGTGATACTAATCACCACAATGTAATTTTGACGATCCATTTCCAGCTTATAGAGAGGCTCCTAAGATCTGACGATGCGAAATCGTACAAGGAAATTAATTTTGACGAGAAACCGAAGCCTAACAGGCACTCTAGCTATTTTTAGCATGCCATATAATAATACGATATACACTTTGTCTTTTTTTCTGCATCATGAAAACCCGCCGATCTAGGCCAGTAACAACTACGCCACCCTGCCACCAGGACTAACACTAACACATTAGTTGATATTGATTGGAAGTTGCGTGACCCTATACGTAAAGAAAACTTTCATTAGCCCTTTGTTAGGCGCACTCCAGCGTTATCACGACAGGTTGGAACACGCCCCTCCATTTTAAGATGCTTTTATAAGTTTCCCTTGTATGTAATGCAATTTTTGGACTCGATTTTTAAACACTTTAAAAGGTCAGATTAATTCGAAATTGTGCACATTTGTCAAAGACCGATGACAAAACAATAATTTCAAAATTTTGTTCCATTGTTCTGATCAGGATTCTCAAAAAAAAAAACGATTTTAAGGATTTCGAGACTTCGCGGCTAATTCATTATATTGTTTCCAGATTTGGCGACTAATTGCATACACCATTTCAAGATGTGGCGACTATTTCCATGCTTCATTTCCAAATTTAGCGACTATTTCCATATATTGCGACTAAAAGATCCAATCCCTTAAAAAAGGTGCAACGCTAAGAATGAAAACAAATGTTATTAATAAAAATAAAACAAACAAAAAAGTGTTCTTTATGTGAGAAAGGAAAAAAACTCGTGCATGTGAATAAAAATAATTTATGTTCTAACTGCTAAATAGTTTTTTTATAAAGTAATACGTTTAGAAGTGATGATACGAATTAATATTAGAGAAATACGCTTAAAAGTTGATAATACGATTGACATTTAATATTTCTTTTTAGCACACTTTTATTAGTTAGACCTGTATCTATAGATACGGCATCTTTGAAATATAAAGAAATGGGACTCATACGAGGGCTCGTAAACGGAGAGAATAAATACCCTTCAGACCCATTAATTAATATCCATTGAAAAGCAAGACTACTACCAGCAGCTACATAATTCTGGCTTCAAATATCAAACTCAAGAATAAATTCAAAAAAGAATAAATTATAGTTTTAATAACTGAAATAACAAGCTTTTATTGTAGATCGAACTAAAAAATTTTTAAAAAAATTATTAATATAAGAATAAAATGATTAACGAGAAAATTAATGCCTTTGTGGTAAAAGCGTGAGGTGCTTTGTACTACATTTTTACACTAACTCAGCATTTCGGAATAGAGCTAGTAAGAAATTATAACAATTAATATAGAGCACTCCAAGCTTTTATCCCAATGACATTATTTTTTTTTGTTAATCATTTTATTCTTACATTAATTTTTTTTTTAAATTTTTCAGCTCGATTCACTATAAAAGCGTGTTTTTTAGTTTTTTTTTAACTATAATTTATTTTCATCAGTCTTCCATCACTCACCCTCGGACTCAGTGTCAAGAACGAGGGTGATTTCTTCATATTTCGGGCAGCAGGGACCATTGGATCTGATAGATGCAACACGCCCATCATCGTCAGTTTTTATGACTTTGTACTTATTTGTTAAGTTTGATTTTTTTCTTGTAAAATAATGTAATTATTATTATTATTATTATGTTTGAAAATAATTCAAAACATGTATCTTGTTTTTTCTGTTTGATATTTTTCTTTTTCAATGGGAGTTGAGATGTATCTGAGGGATGCTGCATGCCTAGCCAGTGATTCTATTTTGTTCCATTCTCATTGCAGCTGGAATAAACTTCCAAAATATCTATATGGGAAACAAAGTCACTCAGAACCTCGCACACATATCTAGGAAAATTAGGTCACGAACCTTTGAACGAGCACCTGCGAAGACAGCCTGAGTATTACATTCACATGCCTTGCTCATTTTGAGTCAGGATTGAACAAATATCTGTCATACAATCCCCCCCATTCAAAACGACAAGGCAAGATAAACATCATCAGGGACTTGGAAAATAAGGTATTGTTTCCTGTTGTCAAGAGGCTGCGGTAGCCGAGTGGTATAGGTATCGGATTGTGGCTGGCTTTGTTACGAGTTCGAGCCCAGTACCACTAAAGACCCGCCGTGGTTCAAAATTACGTGGTCCTTCGCCAAAAGCCCTCGTGTAGCGCTAATCAGTGCGACGTTATTGTTCACTCACTCCCTGCTGTCAGGATATCAAGAAAAGATTATTAAAACTTTGTAATACATTATAAGAAAAATCTATGCCCTCCATGAACGTTGTGAGTTGCGAAGATTACAAACAGGCATCT